AATAATAATAATAATAATAATAATAATAATAATAATAATAATAATAATAATAATAATAAAGTCTTGCAGAAAATTCGGTTAAATAATTACAGCCTTGGGTGAAAGGCTCTGGCGGTGGCGGACACGTCGGGGTCCGCCTGGCCGGCAGGCGGCGCCGCAGCTCCCGGGCCGCGCAGGCGCAGACCGCGCCCCGGCCCCGCGCTCACCTGCAATGGCCGCACTCCGGCCTGCGCTCAGCGCGCTCCACCGGAAGCCCCCACAGCCCGTCGGCGCTCGCGCCGTCCTCCTCCGAGCCCGCGGGAGCCGCCGCCTGCAGTGCACCGCCCTCGGGTCGCTCCTCTCCGTCCGGCGCCGGGGACCCCGAGGCCCCAGGAGGGCGAAGCACGGACTCCCCGAGCGTTCGCGCCCCTTCCTGCGGCTCCATGGCTGGTGCTAGGAGTCAGGCCGCCGCATTGAGGGCGCGCCGCCGCCGGGGGGCGCCACGCGCTGGGGAAAGGAGGGGCGGTGTGCGCCACGCACGCACGTCACGTAAGGGGCGAACCTCAGAGGAGCCGTGAGGTCCCGCCCCGTTGCCTAAAGAAGGAGCCCATTGGTTAGTGTGAGTGTCCTTCTTCTGCAGGGGGAGGAAGTCGTGGGCCGAATAGCTGTACCGCTGTGATTAGGCTCGCTGGGACCGGTGAAGCAGTCCTCGCCGGAGGCCGTCGGGACGCGGACCTCAGTGCAGCTGTTCTTGTTTCAAAGATAACGGGAAATTCTGGGCAGCCGCGCTGCATTCGAGGACATGGGCAAGCTCGCGACTTTGAGGGCCAGAGGCTGCAGAGGAGCGGTTGCAACCCCTGAAAATTGGTCCACTGACTGTGGGTTCTCGTAGCCCCTACCTTGCCTTCCTTGTTCCTCTAGCCATCGGGAATACCACCTCACATTTGATACCTAATGGTTGTTAAATGATGTGTTAAACTTCCCAAGTACCTGGAACCAGGCAATAAGAGCGGGCTATTGCATGCACTGTATGGTTGAGAAAGAACACTGCAAACAAGCACAGGGTTTATCTATGTAACCTTGGCTGTGCTGGACTTGAGCTTGGAAGATAAGCTTTAAAAAGTCGTTATGGGCCGGGTAGCCCACGCCTGTAATGCCAGCACTTGGAGGACAGAGGAGGCAGGCGGATCTCTTGAGTTCGAGGCCAGCCTGGTCTACAAAGCGAGTCCAGGACAGCCAAGGCTACACAGAGAAACCTTTGTCTCAAAAAATAAAAATAAAAGTGTAACGGAGGTAGAAACATTGCTTGCAGAAAATGAGTGATTGTATTTGTTAACGCTGATTAATGTTAATTCTGTCAATATACATTTAAACAAAGAAACTAGGTTTTCATCAGTCCTGAGTTGTTTTGCAGTAACAACTGCCTCGATGCTCTCTACTTGTAGACCAGGCTTAACCAGGAAGAGTAACAACAAATTTTGTATCTCTCATAGTATATTTTAGCATTGGATTTTCCAGTCACCTTAAAATCAAATTGATAAGTTGTATACAGGACTGTATCTTAATCTACTCTCAATTCTTCTTCCCTGAAAACAGTGTCCTTCCTCTATTTAGGCATAGCTTTTAGAGAAGGGGAAAGGGCTGGAATGGTCCACCTGGTGAATAGATGTAGGGTAGGAAACAAACTGGCACATATGTCTGTTAAAATTAAGAAATGAATAAACCCCAGACACTGTAGGATGGAGAGTGAATCAGAAAATAAAGAAAACCTGGCAACAGATGTAGATTGGAGAAGTAGCTTTTTTAAAAAACTGCCAAATTAAATTTCCTAATGACTGTGTTTAAATAAAAGGATGCTCCTGCTCTCATTTCAAGACAAGACAAGCATGAGTAGGCTGGATGAGGTTTTTCTGCACTGTCAAATATGCTAACAACCATTAGTTTTCTCAATAGTCCACAACAGACCACTGGCTCTGACCTTCAGATAATGCAGAATACAGCAATTCATCTGCATTACCACCTCTGCCCCATTCAGATTTCTGTTTCTGGTGTACATTATTCCATTGCCAAAAATGAGTCCCACTTCATCTTTACTTTTGAAAGAAAAACCTCTATAAGTCCACCTTCCCAGAGGTTGACCAGAATAAAAAATTAAATTGTTAGTAAACAAACACATAAACCTCCTGGGGCTCACAAAGTGTTAGCACATGTCCTTTGCTTGGGCTAGATCTGGGATTCAGTCAGCAATACTCTGAAACAAACCAAGCTAACAAGTACATCTTTCAATCCGGGGGAAAACATCAAAAAGAGGCATCTATTTCCCTCCGGGAAGTGTAGATGCATCTTCATGCCCATGTTCCAAGCTCTGACCTAGAGCAGCCTGAGGAAACCTATGTGTGCAGCTACCACCTTAAAGCACACAAAGGTAACACAAGATTAGCCATAAGTTGCCTGGGAAAGGCTAGGATGGAAGGATAGTGGTGGTTTGCATATGAATGGCCTTCATGGGCTCATATATTTGAATGCTTCGCTATCAGGGAATGGCACTATTTTGATAAGGATTAGGACATAGGGCCTTGTTGGAGTAGGTGTGGCTTGCTGGAGGAAGTGTGTCACAGAGGGTAGGTATTGAGGCTTCAAAAGCCCATGCCAGGCCCAGTTCCCTCACTTCATGAGGCCTGCAAATCAGGATGTTGCTCTCGGCTACTGCTCCAGTGCCATAATGATAATGGATTGGTCCCCTGAAACTTAAGCAAGCTCACAATTAAATGCTTTCCTTTTTAAGAGTTGCTTTGGCAGGTGGAGGTAGGTTGTCTTAGTTATAAGTTACAGTGTCTCTTCACAGCAATAGAACAATAGCTATGATAGGGAGAAAAATGTCTTTTAAAGGGAAACAATATACTAGTGGCAGGATAATGCAGTTAAATGTTATTTATGTAGATAACCAGACCTTCATATTTCTTCCCCTCAAGGGTTTCTATGATAGTTGTTTAAAGACAACCTTAATATCATAGCACTGTTGTGAGACAAAGAGGAGAACATTTCAAGAAAGGGCCTCAGTAATGGCAAGGCTTACATACGCTGCCAATCCAGCAGAGAGAACGCCCAACAGAGGATAAACTTCAAATAAAAATAAACACTGGACATTTTTGCCATTTTGTTTTCCACTGCTACTTCAGCAAATTGCCACAAACATAATGGTTTAATAAAACACAAGTTTATTCTCTTACATTTCTTTATATGAGAACTGGCTGCATTCCTTCAGAGGATCTAAGACAGAATGCATTTCTGGCTGTGGGTTGTTGGCAGGATTCAGTTCCTATGGTTATTTTTGTGTAGTGTTATCTACTGTGCCCAACTTCTACAGGTTATTCCTCGGCTCAGAGCCCCCTTCCTCCACCTTCAAAGCCAATAACTGTGGGCTGATTCTTGCTAATCATTCTAACTTTTCCTGTCTTTTCTGAAACCTCTCTCTAAACAACCTTCTGCCTTTCTTTTCTACTTACACTTACACTCACATAACCCAGGAAGATGTTTCTGTATTGAAGCCAATTAGTAACTTTGATTCCATTCAGCTATACACTGTTACATGCATAGACATTATGGCAGAGGATAAAGGTCATGGGAGCCAAAATTCTGTTCACCTTATACATGCTTATCAAATTTACTGGTTTCACATTCATGCTTGAGAGATGCTTCAGTGGTTAAGAGCACTGGCTGCTCTTCCAGAGGACCTATGTTAAATTTTCAGCACCCACATGTCAGCTCACAATTGTTTGTACCCCCAATTCCAGGGGATCCAACTCCCTTAGGCAGACACACATGCAGGCAAAACATCAATGAATGTAAAATAGTAAATAAATCAGTTTTTAAAGAGAAAAATGAAATATAGTCACCTAATGCTGAGATTCCATGTTCCCCATAGCTTACAAGCCCTGTACACAAGAATTATGTATACGGTATTTTGAGAACATGGAACATAAATGAAGACAGCAAAATCTAATAACCACCTTAGCAGTTCTAACTTTGATATCAATGGAAGACAGTTCCTGTGAACTCCAGCCTGACACACTGGTTCCCTTTCCTTTTGACTCCACATTCCTTGATACCTTGATGCTCTTCCCATAAGAAGATAATTCTGAACTTTTCTATGAGTTCAGTGATCCTTAAACGTAATGCAACTTCCTTAAGTCTAACTGTAAATACCACACTGACAAATTGTTCCTAAGTAACCCAGGAGAGGCCATCGTCTCTTAAACCCCCGGTTCCTCAACAATTTGCTGATTCCTGTAGTCCGTGATTGGCTGTATGGTCTGGTGCTTTGTATTTGTTAATTGCTTGCCTACTGAGAGTCTTCCTGTTTATGAGCAAACTGTCATGTACCCAAGTATTGCTGTTTAACCTTGCCTAAGAAATCATTCCTGATTGGCTGATTAAAAGTCCTAAACCTGGGCCAGGCAGAATGGGCCAAAGTTTGAGGGCTTTGGGAGAGGAGAGTCAAGGGAAGGAGAGGATACAGACTGGAAGAGAGGAGGAGGGAGGAAGCCACCATGGGTTATGTGAAGAAAAAAAAAAAAAAGAAAAGAAAAGAAAACAAACATGTGGGCCAGGAGAAAGGACTCAGAGAATGGCGTGGAAAGGCCGAGATGAAGAATACAAGCAAGTATTTTAGGACTCTGAATGGAAGGTAGCCCAGATAAGACTGGTTAAGGCAGATGACATGGGAAGAGGCTGGGAAACATGAGTTAGTGTAGGTGGAATGTCTGCCCAACCCAATGTGAAATAAGGTAATTATAAAATCTAACAGGTGTCTGTGTCTTATTGATTGTGATAGCAATTGTGTTGCAATTGTGATAATACTACTGTAATAATTGTTTATTAGCCGGATGCCCTTTATTTTCAACAATTGGCCTTGTTTTCTCAAGGCAAGTCCTTCCCTCACAGCTTTATGCCTTTTCCCTAACTTGGCACCAAGATTTAATAGCCTATTTCCTCCTGAGTTAGGCCACTGCTATCCAGATTCTCTTCCCCTAAGTTTCTGATACTACTTCTTTGTAGCAGATTCTGTCAAAAAGATCACCAGTCACCTAGGAAACAGATGTGTGGGCATCTGTGTCTGGGTAATCTAGATTGGCTTAACTGGGATGTAAGACCATGTAAGACGTGGGTGGCACCATATCTTGGGCTGAGATCCTGAGCAGAATAGTAAGAGAGCTGAGCACAAATACTCATCTCTCTATGACCTGTGTTTGAAACGTGAGCCATTTCAGAGGGTATTTTATTCTGTTCCTAAACAGGAATGCATGTGGCACTATTATAATTAAGATCAATCAATGGAACAAAATAGATGACATACAGAGGATTTATTACAGTACATAGAACTAAAACATGATAAAGAATGTAAAACCCATAAGTGAATTTTGCAGCAGCTTCAGAAAAGCTGCAGATCTGACATGGAGA